TTTAATTACATGTGTGGCTGGATTTATAGAGGTTGATGGCTGCTTTTATCCCTTCTTAGGCATAATTACTTCCTAGGTAGCTATTCTATTACATGAACTAAAGGAGTGTTTTATAGTTATCAAAAAAAGGGGGGAGGGAAGGAAGAACAGGCGCTTATAGGGTTGAGCAAGAGGACAGGCACCTCTAGGGAATTCGTTCCTGGGAAACCCAAATTCCTAGCTGTACTGAATCTTACTGTAGTGTTATATGCATATTATAAAATTATTACTAACGGAGAATTACTAGATAATAACTTTGATATACTATATTACCATGAAGTGATTTCATAGAAACATAGAATTCTTTTTAGAGCTGAAGAGGTCTTCTGTGATTATCTGATCGATTCCATTTATCTAGATTCAGATTTTTCGGAAAAATTGTGAAGTATGATTGCTACCAAATTAGAGTTCAGCTTTCCCACCCTTGATTGCCTTGCTTTGCTTTCTTAGGGTTTGAATGCAGTATTTGACATCCTGGTGATAGGGAAATTAAATATCCTGGAAATGGTCCAGAAGGTACTACATAAAGACAAGTCATTAGAGGTGAGTATATACTTTTTGTCTCCAGCCCAGACATCAAAAATGTCAAGTACCAGCTGATTTTAAATGCCATTTTCAAAGTATGTCTTGTGCTTTTGAATTCAAAAATAGCCAGCCCTTTAAAGCACAATGTCAAAGTCGTTGGGGTAGAATTGCTGTACGTTTGTACCTGGCTTGGCCACCGTTATATTTGAAAACCTGTGATGTCAGTGGCTCTGCGGTTTCCTTCCAGAACTTTGGGGTGCTCAGGAATGGGGGTCTCCTCTTCAGAATGACTCTCCTGGCCTCGGGGGGAGCAGTTATGCTCTACATACGTTGGAAAATCATGGGCACCGGCCCGCCAGCGTTTACGGAGGTGGACAACCCAGCCTCCTTTGCCGACAGTGTGCTGGTCAGGGTGAGTTCTGGACCTCTTCCCCTTTGGATTGTTTTCTTTCCCCACTGCATTCCCGGATCCTTCATCCCTCCTCCTCATCTCAAGTCCCCACCACCCACAAAATCTTTAATAAATGGGGTGTTTCCATTGTTATTTGCTATTACTAAGGATTATTCTAGGATGAAACCAGGATTTTGTTTTCTTTTTATTGTAAAAAAAAAAAATTTGTATATATACATATATATATGTATGTGTGTGTATATATATATATGCATGTATATATGTATATACATATATACAGACACACACGTACATATATATATATGTATATAAAACACAACATTTGTCAATTCAGCGTTTTTCAGATGTACAATTTAGTGACATCAGTTACACTAACCATGTTGTGGAACCATCATCTATTGATGACAACTTTCCCATCACCTTAAACAAAAACCCACTGGTTCCCAAACAATGGCTCCCCCCTTTCTCCTCCCTGCTGCCCCTGGTGACCACTAGGATTGGTTTCGATACATTTGCCTATTCTTGTTATTTCATATAAGTGAGATCTTGCAGTACTTGCCCTTTTGTGATTGACTTATTTCACCCAGCATAATGTTTTCACGGTTCATGCATGTTGTAGCCTGGATCAGGACTGCGTTTCTCTTTATGGCTGAGGAGTGTTCCATTGAGAAACCAGGTTTTTATCACTAGGGATTGAGATGGTGTAAACTCCCTGTGTATCTTTTGTAACTGCAGGAGGGGTGGTTCCTTCTAAGGTCAGATTTCCCACCTGCCTTGTTACCTTGTCTCCTAACCCCATTGCTTTTGTTATAAAGGAAACTGATGTGGCTGGGTTAAGACAAAATTCAACAGTATCAGTTGCGTTTCTAAAAGTCTAGCAACATCAAGACTCTCTTTATTCTTTAAATTTGCTTTTTCTAAAGGCAAGGGTGTCAAGCTGCAAGTTCTTAGCGGTGTGTTTCATAGAAACAGAAATCAAGAGAATGACCGCAGAACCACGTTCTTATGTGATTAGGGACATAGGTGACCCCTGGGCCTCCGATTTCCTGAGTTGCAGACTTGGGGCATTACTGAGTAAATGGAGCATAGTTTGACCAAAAATGTAACATGGATAGCCTGGTCTGTTGGCTTTGCTCTATTTCTATTAAAATCGAGTGCATTTAATAAATTCCAAATGAGAGCCCCATACCCAATACAAAGCTAGGCAACGTTTTATATGAAGCCTCTGAGTGCTTCAAAAGTGAAATAGGATATGTATATAGGTATTTTTTTCAAGTTCACTGTCAAATAAATGTTTGTTTTCCTTTTGACTGGCAGGCCATCAACTATAATTACTACTATTCACTGAATGCGTGGCTGCTGCTGTGTCCCTGGTGGCTGTGTTTTGATTGGTCAATGGGCTGCATCCCCCTCATTAAGTCAGCCGGTGACTGGAGACTAATTGTACCAGCAGCTCTGTGGTTCTGCCTGATCGGCCTCCTGTGCCAAGCCCTGTGCTCTGAAGACAGCCACAGGAGAAGGTAAGAGGCAGCGCCGAGTTTTAACTTGCACACAGGGTTGAGTCAGAAGCATTTTGCTAAATCCAGCACCGATCATTTTAATGATTCTGTGGCATTCATGTCTAAGAATGTTTCTTTCAAATACATATTTATGGCTAGGATCAGTTCTATCCATTAGAAGTCCATTGCCTAGCTACAGCTAGTGGGGAGTGGACTTGGAGGAGGCGGGTACGGGGGATGGCTTCATCTCCCCGCCCTTCCCCCCAGAGAGTAGCATTTTGAGATCCTTTTCACTGTAGGTGGTAAAGAGTATAGTCAGAGCAAAGGATGTAATTGCTGTGCGTTGTGCCCATTAGTTCACAATTCTCTTTCAGAAAACCCCAGTGGATGCTCTCATGGCTCCTTGTGTTTGGTGCACAATTAGCTGCTGCCCCAAAGAGACCATTCTTTCTCGCCAAAAAAAAACGGGGGTGGGGAACAAAGGTGCTTTATGAAAAAGAAGACTGAGATTATTTTATATAAGCCTAAATGTTTATGGAATTAAATTAGTAATTTCTCAAACTAAATTAAGTTCTGAGTTTACCTGTGTCTTAAATTGGTTCGTAATTCTAAAGGACAACAGACTTTAGTCCCAGTTTACTTATGTAAGTGAAATAGGATAAAAAAAAGAAACTTTGGGCACAAGGCCCAGGAAATAGCCTCCAGATTTGACTTGGCTTCTTAATCTATCCTCTTGCATTATCTGGGGACCCTGGAAATCATTGACTAGTTCCAGAAGCAGTTTAATACTCAGCTTTCGTTTTGCTTGATTCAAAGTTGTGGTGGTCTGACAACCAAAAATGATATTTGTTTATTTCAGATTTTATAAAGTTTAAACTAGTTATTATTTTTTTGTTAAGTTGGGGTTGGGAAGGAGAATACATTTTTTTCTATGGAAACTACATTTCACTCTTTGGGCCTAATATCCATTGAGCTATTCAGTGCGGAGTAGGTGAGTTAGTAAGGACGCACAAATGTCATCCTTCTAACTTTAGTGATGTGACTTGTAAGTTTTATCCATATGCTCGATGATAAATGCCCTAGTAATATGTTTATGTTTTGTCCCAGTTCTGCCAGGCCAAACCCCCTCTACTCGTGACATTTTTGGGGGGCTTAACGATACCTTTTCTCAGCTGAAGGCATGGCAGAGAAAAAGGTCTTTATCATTAATTTAATGTTGAATAGGACCTCTTCTTGCGAAGTCTAAGAATAGCCGTTTTAAATATTTTTCATTTTCCAGGATCCTTACATTGGGCCTGGGATTTCTCGTTATCCCCTTTCTTCCTGCAAGTAACCTGTTCTTCCGAGTGGGGTTTGTGGTCGCAGAGAGAGTTCTCTACCTCCCCAGTGTTGGGTTCTGTGTGCTGCTGACCTTCGGATTCGGAGCTCTGAGTAAACATGCTAAGAAAAAGGTAATGACCCAAGGGCGGTGCCATTTAAGGTGGTGCAAACAGTTAAGAGTTTAGCTACTAACTGAAAGGTTGGTGGTTCGAATCCACTCAGACCAAAACCAAACCAAACCCGTTTCCATCGAGTCGATTCCAACTCATAGCGACCCTATAGAACAGAGCAGAACTGCGCCATTAGTTTTCCAAGGAGCGGCTGGTGGATTCGAACTGTAAACCTTTTGATTAGCAGCCAAGCTCTTAACCACTGCACAGCCAGGGCTCCGGTCTACCCAGAGTCATCTCAAAAGAAAGGCCTGGCGACCTACTTCTGAAAAATCAGCCATCGAAAACCCTATAGAGCACAGTTATACTCTGACACATATGGGGTCACCATGAAATCAGAATTGACTTGACAGCAGTTGATTTAGTTTTTTCTTTTTCTTTTGGTGCCATTTATGACCAAAATTGTTGGATGGATTTTAACTAATGATATCTACCATGTCTCTCTGTTCTTAAGAAGCTAATTGCTGCTCTCATGCTCGGAATTTTATCCATAAACATGCTGAGATGCATAGTTCGTTGCAGTGAGTGGCGGACTGAAGAACAGCTTTTTAGAAGTGCCCTGTCTGTGTGTCCTCTCAACGCTAAGGTACGTAGATTGCCATATTGCTTTTATAAAGACTACTAGGTCATGTTTTAAGTTCAGCGTCTGAATGTCTACCTTCATACAGAATCTGGCACAAGACCATGACCAAATACTTTGTTTTTCTATGTTGTTGTTGTTTAATGATTTTGATAAGATTCATTAAAGTTCCACTTTTCCACAGTGATTCAAAAGAAAGATTAAGTCAGATATTACCAGTGAAACAGCAGATTACTTAAACAATGTCTTATCCATGTTCCAGTTAAGTCATTCACCCTGTAAAGTGGTGGCAAGGGTGGTTTTTATTGAAGCAGTCTGATAGAAATTTATTTCACTTGGATTCTTGATGAATCCAAGCTGTTCATTTACCAGCTCTGTCTCTTTGGGTAAAACTAAACTTTTTTGAACTTTTAGTACCTTTATCTGTAACATGGAGATAATACCTGTCTCCTGGGTTTGTTGTGAGAGCTTAACAAAACACTACATCAAAAGTGTCCTAACATGGTATTTTAGCACATAGTAGATGCTCAAGAAACATTAGCCTTCTTAGGCCCATTTTATTCTTGTTGTCACATTAAGTGACAGCGTCTTGTTAGTTGCTGTTGAGTCTGTGCTGACTCATGACAACCTTATCTAACAGAACGAGATGTTGCCCAGTCCTGTCCCATCTTCACGATTGCTAAATGACAGGAAGGGAATGCTGTTTGCTCGAAAGAGGGGAGAGGGATTTAAGTTAGAGAAATTTTCTGTTAGTGTAAATTATTATTACCAAATAATGATACACTCTCTCTTGGATTATCAAAATTGGAGGTGTCTAGGATGGTTACATGTGATCTTCTGGGGTAAAAAAAAAAAAGCTCTCTGGGGTTCCATCTCATTTTCACGTTCTATATATAAAGAAAAGCAGTGATTTCAGGCAAGAATAAGTAAACAAATCTAATGAACAGTTGATTCTTATTGTGGCCCTGAAGTTAAGACTAGTATAAAAAGTGCCGACTCCTTGTTTGTCTTTTTCTTATAGTAAAAAATCTTGTTCCTGTCTTGTAGTTAGAAGACAGATAAAGGAGAGAGTTACTTCTAAGTTTTATCTTTAATTTGATTTTGCTGACCTGTCACTTTTTTTTATGCCACTAAATATAAATTGCCTGTGATTTAATTTCATAAATGTTAGGAGACTTGCTTTATTTTTACTTTTCTGTCTGAATAGGAGTTATTACCCCTTCTATTTATATAGTTCTTCCCCACAAGAAATTCAGATTTCTCTGTTGAGGCTCTATAATTAATCTCCATTATCCTCTCTCTCTGAGGCCTTTAGAGAGAGGGTATTATTTTATGTCTCCAGATGGGAGAAACTGAGGCATGGGAAGATTAAACTGACATTATATAAGCTAGTAATTGAGGTAGCTGCACTAGACTGGTATGGTGCTGGACCCCAGGTTACTCTAGTAAATGAGGGGTTAAAGGGACATGTGTGATGCCTGAGCCTTCTGCCCCAGTGAATAATTTCACGTGTTATAGGCTAGAAAACACAGAGTATGCACACATGTGCATACACACACTTATTACATATGTGTGTCATTTTCTCTTTTTAAATTTAAGGCATACATACAAGACCTCATCTTCGAAACACACCCAGTGGTGATAGTCCTTTCCAAGAACTGTTCACGGTGGTGCAGTTTAGTGTAAACAAGATAGGTATAAAGCTAGGCTGAGCTCAGGGAAGAGATCACATTTAGGAAGATTACAGTTTTGTTCAACCCCATTGCAGCAGAAACATTTTCTGAACGGTCTCCACTTGATAGTCCTTCAGTATTAAGCGAGCAATTGGCAAACCAAACCAAACCCCTTGCCATCTAGTCAACAAAGTAGAACTGTCCCATAGGGTTTCCAAGAAGCGGCTGGTGGATTCGAACTGCCGACCTTTTGGTTAGCAGCCATAGCTCTTAACCACTGTGCAGTTAGGGCTCCTAAGCAACTGGCAACTAGCTGTAAATTAGGCCCAGATTTACAAACCAAGACTCATCTTTTTCAAAAGATTGCCAGTATCCATGTCGGTAGTACCTGTGCTTGGGCTGCATTTGAATTACCCACAATGTCTTACATACGTAGATACTCAGTATCAGCTATTGAATTGAACCGGATGGGGAGTTCAATTCATTGAGCCCTCTGTGATACTTGACACCAAGTGTCTAGTTATATTTATACTTCATTTTCATTTTGAGGCTTGAAAGTATGTTGCAGTTAGTATCAGCTCTGTAATACAATTCTAAATTCTCCTAACAATGAAGAAGATCCTGTACCGCAGTGAGCTCTCACTTAAGGAATGACCCAGGATGAATTACAGAATTTTTATGTGCTTAATTTTTTTTTAAGTTTAATATCAAATATTGGCAGAACATTTGCAGCTAGCAAACTGGTTTTAGTGCTGGTGTTAGTCATGCATTTCGTTAGTGATTCTTTTACTTCACTTGCACCCAGGTGTTATTGGGCTGCACTGGTTGTTTTTTTAATTTTTTTAAAATTTTTTCCCATACAAAAACTTATACGTACATTGTTATGTGACCCTAATTGCTCTCCCCATACTGTGACGGCACATGCCTTCTTTCCACCCGATTCCCCATGTCCATTCAACCAGCTCCTAACCCTCTCTGCCTTCCCATCTCACCTCCGGACAGAAGCTGCCCATTTAGTCTCTTTTATCTCCTTGAGCTAAGAGGCACACTCGTCACGAGTATCACTTTATGTCCCACAGTCCAGTCCAATCCCTGTCTGAAGAGTTGGCCTCGGAAATTGTTTTAGTTCTGGACTGATAGAGAATCCGGGGGCCATGCTTCCAGGGTTCCTCCAGTCTCAGTCAGACCATTAAGTCTGGTCTTCTTACTAGAATTTGAGTTCTGCACCCCACCTTTCTCCTGCTCCATCAGGGGCTCTCTGTTGTATTCCCTGTCAGGGCGGTCATTGGTGGTAGCCGGGCACCATCTAGTTCTTCTGGTCTCAGGCTGATGAAGTCTCTGGTTTATGTGGCCCTTTCTATCTCTTGGGCTACTACTTTCCTTGTGTCTTTGGTGTTCTTAATTCTCCTTTACTCCAGGTGGGTGGGACCAATTGATGCATCTTAGATGGCCACTTGCAAGCTTTTAAGACCCCAGATGCCACTCATGCACTGGTTGTTTTTATCTTCTGCTTTCCTGTGCTTGTGAATCACAAAGGCTAGAGGGAAAATGGAAGAATAATCAGGCTTTTTCAGTCTTTTACATCCCACAGAAACAAAAGTCACTCATTCTTTAAACACCATTTTAAGTATTGGATTTTAAGGGGTTTGTTTGTTTGTTTAACAAGGGGTTACCTAGGCAGCTATTTTCTATTCAAATAATTCCCTCTATAAGCCGTAGCTTAAAGCTGACCTCTGAATACACCTGTTTACCAATTCTTAATTACAGAAAGCTTGCCTGCTAGGGCTGTATCCAATTTTTAACTTGTTCCGTTTCGGTAACCACAGTTTATATTTCCAGAGTGGCCGATCTTTCTCCCTCGGTCTTCTGGTCTGGGTGGAGAAGAGAACAGTGTCTGTACTGCAGAGGGCAGTTGAACTCTTTGTCTGAGCTTTTTACTGAGACAACAGTATTTCCTGTAACAAAGGGAAGCAGCAGGAGCTTGGGGTGGGAGAGGCGGCAGTCCTGTTGAAGTCTGTATCTCCAAGCTGTGTTTGTATTCTTGCCACCGCAAGGACAACGCTGGGAAGTCGGATTCTCCTGCCTTCCTTTCGTTTGTCATGAGAGGGGAGGTGAAGTCATATATCCAGGCTGGGGGTTGGGGAGCACAAACCCTAACCATTAAGAGCCCGCTTTTAAAAAGTGTGTGCTCTGGTGATAGCATTAATTGAGCCTCTTCTGAGCTATAATTTGAAGATGCTAGTGCCAGGAGCCCTGGTGGCGCAGTGGTTAAGGGCTCTGCTGCTAACCAAAAGGTTGGCAGTTTGAATTCACCAGCCACTCCTTAGAAGCCCTATAGGGCAGTTCTACTCTGTCCTATGGGGTCACTATGTGTCAGAATTGACTCAACGGCAATGTTTTTGTTTTTTTTTAAATACCTATTAATGGACAATAATTTGGTTCAGAAAGTTTATACGGTGTGGTGCACAGTCGTGTGTATTTATATCACCTGTGATTCCCCAGCTTGTGATTCTTTTTGTCAGATTAGGTAAACATAAGTGAATATACTTTAAAATTGGCAAGTTAGAAATATCTCTGTTAACATATGTGCTTAAAGAATGACCATACCCTTTCAGGCATATTAGTATTTTTGAAGTAGGGCTATAATTGTAGGTTAAGATTGATAAGGCAGAATATAATTATATTTTCAGAGGTAGCTTTGAGGCACTGTTCAGAGGTATTGTGAGTTGAATGTGTTTAAACCATTACTGTATTTCACTACAAGCAACATTGTTTTACTTTAAGGGAAAAAAAATGGTATGAATGAGTGGATCTAGACGTTCCCTCCAGTAGCTGCCCCATCTCCACACAGTAGCTTAATGAACGGGCATGTTATAGTGAGAAGAACCACAGGCATTGGAGCCTGGGTTCACATGCAGATGTTTAAGAAGTCAAAGCAGTTGATCAACTCGGAAGGGAAGATCATAGCAGCTCCCTCGCAGGGTTGTGAGGAGGAGAGATGGGGCGGATATGGTGCCAAACGCTGCCCCTGGCATATAGGCAACACCAGCACGTGCCAGCTACCAGTATTACCATTACTGTTAGTAGTCACTCTTACTGTAGCTAGTTTCATGAGCATCCTTAACCTCATCTCCTCTAAGACTGCTGTTGGCCTTTGCATCATAAGGCCGCAGAAGGAGGTTTTTGTGTATTGATACATAACTTTTGATTCTAGTCCTCCTGAGTATGTAGTCTCACTGCCCCGTTCTTAGTTCTGGTCCCAGCTACTTTCTTTGCAGTTTATTCTGAGCCAAAGTCCAGTTGAGAAAATGCCATCATTTGGCCTTCCAGGTGCATGCGCGTTAAGATTACCTGAATTTCTGGTAGCCTTGCAGCTCTGTGTCCTGTTTTCTTCTAGTCTCCTCTACCACCCTCTTCCTTCAGTCAGTTTTAGTGCTCTCCTCAGTCTCCCTGTGCATTACTTCATTCCCTCTGGGTTTCTTCTGCTTTTAGTTTGCTTGTTATTGTTGTTACGTGCCGTCAAGTTGGTTCTGATTTATAGCGACCCTATAGGACAGAGTAGAACTGCCCCAGAGGGTTTCCAAGCAGGGGCTGGTGGATTTGAACTGCCAACCTTTTGGTTAGCAGCAAAGCTCTTAACCACTGCACCACCAGGGCTCCTTTAGTTTGATTAGAAAAGTAAAACGAGGTTACGGGTTCAGAGGAGTTACTACTGCTGTGCCCGCTTGCTCTCTGGGCGATCACACCCACCCTGGGCTTGCCGTGTGCACATCCCAGCGTGCCCTGGGAACAACTAGCCTGCTCTTCTCCTGAGCTCGGGTGGTCCCCCTCGTCTCTCTACAGGACTTCTCAGAGGACTTCAGATCAGCATGATTCTTGGCGCCCTCCCTGATCACAGTTACAGCCCTTAAAAGCCATTGCCACCCATTTAGTTCTGAAACTTGTCGTTGCTCGTTGCTGTCCAGTCGGCTCTGACTCAGGGCAAGCCCGTGTACAACATAACAAAATGTTGCCCAGTCCTGCGCTGTCTTCATGATCGTTGGTGTGCTTGAGTCCACTGTTGCAGTCACTGTGTATTTTGAGTGCCTTCCAGCCTGGGAGGCTCATCTTCCAGCACTGTATCGAATGGTATTCTGTTGTGATCCATAGGGCTTTCGTTGGCTAATTGTCAGCAGTAGATCACTAGACCTTTTCTTCCTCATCTGTCTTAGTCTGGAAGCTCCACGGAAACCTGTCCACCATGGGTGACGCTGCTGCTATTTGAAATACTGGTGGCATAGCTTCCAGCATCATAGCAACACACAAGCCACCACAGTACAATAGACTGACAGACAGGTGGTGGTCTGAAAGTTAGAAACCTCAAATTCATTCTGGACACACTCCTCCACCCTCATATCGAATACGTGGCCGATTTCTGTGATTTTTTTTTTCCTTCCTGCATATCCCTCACATTCCTCCACTTCTTTCATCACCACCCTCGTCCACCTGTGGTATCCCTGGACTGCAGCCTAACCTCTCACTGGACTCCTAGTAGCTGCTTCTAACCCACTCACATCTGTTTTCTGCAGTGCAGCCAGGATGATTTATTTTTAATAAATGTAAATCTGATGATGCCTCTCCGCCAGCTCCCTACTCCTGCCTTACAAACCTTGCAGGGGCCTTCCATCATATTTAGGGCAAAGACAAAGGCTCCTGCCGCTGCTCGTGATTCTCTGCACGGCCTGCTGCACCCGAGCTCGCCGGCCCTCCTCTCCTTCGCCCTCTGCACCCCAGAGACGTGGGCTCCTTGTAGTTGCTCAGATGCATCAGGCTTCCTCCCGGCCTAGGCGCTCTGCTCGTGTTGCCTCCTTCGCCTGGGACACTCTTACTCCACCTGCAACCCCTTTCCCTAGGAACACCCCTTCCGGTCTCAGCCCCAGGTGCCTTCTTAAGGACAGCCTTCCCTGAGTCCCTCAAACCAGCCCCAGCGATTCCCCTTCCTTCAGAGCCCTCGGAATCTGCAGGGGATCTGCAGGGCTTTGCTCACGGTTGTAAATGTAAATCTAGCTGATAGCCCAGTGCTCAGCGCCCCAGTGGGCATCCAGCCATTTCCTGAAGGAATGAAGGAGGGAGTGTGTTATTAGCTATGAAGTAAAACGCTTACAATAGTACACGAGAAAGGTGTCCTCCAAGAAAGGGCTGCATTTGTTTAAAATGAGTGGGCAGGCTGGTTGTTTATGTGTGATTGGACTTTGGTTATTTTAACTCTAACAGGGTAGTAGTAGTAGTATGTAGCAGAAGAGAATTTGAGGGTTTAGTAGAAAAAATAAGGAGCCCTGGTGGCACAATAGTTAAGTGCTTAGCTGCTAACAGAAAGGTCAACAGCTAGAACTCACCAGTGGCTCTGTGGGAGAAAAGACCTGGTGATCTGCTCCCATAAGGATTACAGCCTAGGAAACCCTATGGGGCAGTTCTGCTCTGTCCTTTGGGGTCGCTATGAGTCAGAATCTACTCGACGGCACACAACTTCAACAACAGTAGTAAAACAACCCAATTTTTAAATTTTCCAGTTTTCTCTGGTGAGTTCTTTAGTGACTTCTCTTATCATACTTTAGTCATACTATCTGCTTGTCACCTCCCTTTCTTCTAATCTTTTCTGACAGGGTGGGCAATTAAAGTACAAGGAAGCCCCAGGCCTACCCTCTGTAGGATTTTAGCCGAGGCTCTGGTGGGTGATTTTTTTTTTATTTAATACCTGTTGTCTTCAGTTAGAAAGTGTGCTAGGTACCCAGACTCTGGACAAACAAAGTTACCTGCTGACAGCCAAATTGTTATCTGCATTTCCAGGTTCACTACAACGTTGGCAAAAACCTGGCTGATAATGGCAACCAAACAGCTGCCATCCGCTATTACAGGGAAGCTGTAAGGTACTGCACGCATATTGTCTCACATAAGAAATGTCATTTCTATTCACATAATGTTTTGACTTCCTAAGATTAAAACCCTGTCCCCTTTAAGGGCCCACCTTTAAGACAGCTTTGCCAGTTCCTGAGAGTAGTGAAAACTGCCAAGCATTGACGGCCAGCTTGGTTTCTCTCTCTCCACTTCCAGATTAAATCCCAAGTATGTTCATGCCATGAATAATCTGGGAAACATCTTAAAAGAAAGGAATGAGCTACAGGAAGCTGAGGAGCTGCTGTCTTTGGCTGTACAAATACAGTAAGCATTGTTTTTACAAGTATGCTAGTGACAGAGAGACTGGTTCCTGCATTCCCTGGTCTAAGTCTTTCTTTTTCTTGTTTATCTTTTTTTTTTTTAAATGCTCTGCTAGGCCAGACTTTGCTGCTGCATGGATGAATTTAGGTATAGTGCAGAACAGCCTGAAGCGGTTTGAAGAAGCGGAACAAAGTTACCGGACAGCAATTAAACACAGACGAAAATACCCAGATTGTTACTACAACCTCGGGCGTTTGGTGAGCTGACAGTGCTCTTGTGGCTGTGGATGGAAAGATGTTTTTTTTCCCATTGTTTAGAATAAAAATGGCGGTAGTAACACATCTAGCACTCTACATTTTATAAAGTACTGTCACATATGTTTATCTCATATAAAGGTTGCTGTTTGGTTTCTTTATATGTAGTTTTTTTTTTTTTAAGCTCTTTTATTAGAGAGCAGTCCAACTCGAATTAATCGTACTTAAGAGATCACAAAAGTAGTGAGTAGCATCTGGGATCTTAAAAGCTTATGAGCAGCCATCTAAGATACTCCACTGGTCTCACCAAGTCTGGAGCAGGGGAGAATGAAGAAAACCAAAGACACAAGGGAAAGATTAGTCTAAATGACTGATGGACCACAAGTACTACAGCCTCTACCAGACTGAGCCCAGCACAACTAGATGGTGCCTGGCTCCCACCACCGACTGCTCTGACAGGGATCACAATACAGGATCCCAGACAGAGCTGGAGAAAAATGTAGAACAAAATTCTAACTCACAAAAGAAAAAGACCAGACTTACTGGTCAGACAGAGACTGGAGAAACCCCAAGAGTATGGCCCCCAGACACCCTTTTAGCTCAGTAATGAAGTCACTCCTGAGGTTCACCCTTCAGCCAAAGATCAGACAGGCCCATAAAACAATGAGACTAAAGGGGCGCAGCAGCCCAGGGGCAAGGACTGGAAGGCAGGAGGAGACAGGAAAGCTGGTAATGGGGAACTCAAGGTCGAGAAGGGAAGAGTGTTGACATGTTGTGGGGGTCGTAACCAATGTCACAAAATAATATGTGTATTAACTGTTTACTAGTGTACTGTTTTGTTCTGTAGAACTTCATCTAAAGTACAATAAAAAAAAGAGATCACAAAAGTAGTAAGTTAAACTAAGGAATAAGTTTAAAAAAATAAGTCCCTTGAGCCCAGTAAAACAATACTTCAAGGAGTAACTTCCTGCTAAACATCAGTTTCTCTGTTTTTAAAGCATGTATTGACTAAAAATGAAGATTAAGAAAACAAACCCATCATGTGATTTCTGAGCTTCCCGTCCGTCTGTATTCTCCTTCCTCAAGGGAACTGCTCCTTTGATTTTCTTGACAAAGAAAATGAGCCTGCATACAAACAGCAAAATTCTTTAATCAAGAGTGCCTATCCACGCCCTTCAACCAACACTTTGATTTTGTTTTAAGAAACCAAATAGATATGTTGTTGTCATTAGCTGCCCGTGAGTCGGCCCCGATTCATAGAGACCCCATGCGCAACGTAATGCAGTGCTGCCGGATCTTGGCCCACCCTTGTGATCAGTTGCGGATCTGACAGTTGTCATCTGTCGGGTTTTCGTTGGCTGATTGCTGGAAGTAGATCTGCAGGCCTTTCTTCCAATCCATCTTAGTGTGTGGAAGCTCTGCTGAGACCTGTTCAGCATCACAGCAACACACAAGCCTCCACTTA